GCAGGGAAATAGAATAATGTGGGCAAAACAGTGAAAATATCTATCCAGTGATCTTAGGTATAAACGTAAGAAATACTTAGAGATAATAACACAGAAGACTTTACCCCTCAGGGAAACAGCCCAACATCAGCACTGAAACTAAACCCAGGCAACCGTTATAGTCTACTATTAGTGACAGCACATTACTAATACCTACTGTGTGCAGAACAATGATTATGATGCAAAGGGTATTACGTAGAAGGTAGAAAGAGACAAGAATTTAGGTATTTCAATTCAAAATTTTAACAAAGTCCTTGTTGGTGTTTTGGGTTTTTTTTTGAATACATCCACAAACACAGAAACCTACTGAATATGCATAAAGCAGGAAAAAACCCTGACCTTTCAAACTAGTGTGAAACATGGGTAGCAAGGGGAACAAATGCACTAAAATGATGAAATCCACTTATTTTCTTTTGGGCAGTAAATACACAGATTACACTAGCAAACTTGTTTTAAACATACATACCTTTTATTGATTAATAAAGCAAGCATTTGAAGGAAAAAAACACTAGGTTGCTGTGGGACAGTAACCCCCATGAAAATAGGTATTTATACAGATTTGAGTATGAAGTATGACATGGTTTTTTTCATGATTTTGAGTAAGACCACTCACAATTCTTAAAAGGTATACTACAGTCATGAAATCTGGACAACCAGATTTTTAATTTTAGAAAATAACTCATTATTTTAATATGCTACACTAGAAAAGGCATTACACAACCTTTTTCAGAATACAGAGGAAAAATTCTACCATGCCTGCCTTTTTCTCCTTAAGTTTCTGGAAAAGCAGAACATGAATTTACCAACATTTATTTTATCATGACCTAACAGTCTGTAATTTAAAGGAAAAAAAAAAAAATCACAATACAGTTCAGGATTTCTTTGTGGGCTTTCCATGTTTTAAATTGTTTAGGTCCAGTTTAAGTCTGAGAGCTCAGTTTTGGTTACTAAATGTTCTAAAGGATTCCCGATTATAGACTAAATTTAAGAAAACAAGAGCAGCCTAGAGTTAACGCATCTGATAATTGTGGTTTTATGGACTTTTTAAGAATCAATATGGCACTGCAGAGATGTTTTTCTAACAATTTGGAGAAGCTATCATACAAATAACGTTAATATTATCACTACTGTTAGAATGTTTAAAACATTCTTTGGAATCACACCACCCCACTCCACCCCCCAGGAATAATCTGCATCCATTTTTAAAGTGATGATGCTTCTGTTAAAGTTTGGTTACTGTTTAATCTGCATACAGGGCCATGTCAAGGCTGAGAGAGTTGGGGTTGTTCAGCCTGGAGAAGACTCCAGGGAGACCTTATTGCAGCCTTTCAGTACTTAAAAGGTACTTAAGAAGGTACTTATAGGAAAGATGTGAAGAAACTTTTTAGCAGGGGCTGTTGCAATAGGATGAGGGGTAATGGTTTTAAATTAAAAGAGGACTGATGTGAGGAAGAAATTTTTACAATGAAGGTGGTAAAACACTGAAACAGGCTGCCCAAGGAGGTGGTGGATGCGCCATCCCTGGAGACATTCAAGGCCAGGCTGGATGTGGCTCTGGGCAACCTGATCGAGTTGAAGATGTCCCTGCTCATTGCAGGGGGTTGGACTAGATGAGTTTTGAAGGTTCCTTCCAACCCAAACCATTCTATGGTTCTATGATAAACCTTAATCAAAAGCAAATCCTGAATATGTAAAAGTAAACACAAACACACATCATAAAGGTACATATGAGATTATACACTAATATGATCAGAAGTTAACTGATGTTCAGAAGGAGTATTATTTTCCTTTGTCTGAAGACATCCTAAAATGAGACTAGACGCTTAGGCTAGATAAATGGTACATCCAGGCCAGTATTCTATCTCTGGTAACAGCCAAAAGTACAGAACAGGTCACAAACGTGTGATGTTTTTTCCTGTGTACGTTCTTGTTCTGAAAGGCAGTGGTTAGTCTGCCTCTTCCTTCCTCTGCAGATATTCATGATGTTGCCCTCAATTCATTCCTTTCCCAGACCAAAGCCCCAGCTCACAGAAGTGTTCTTCATATGGAAGCCACCCCATGTAACTCATCATCCTTGCTGACCCTCTCTAAGCCTCTTCCAGTTCTAATAAATCCTTTCTGAGATGAAGGCTCCAGAAGCACACACAGCACTAAGCGGGGAACTGGACCATGCACTCTTGTAAATCACATTATCAATTTTATTCTGTATTTCTTTCCTCTGCCATTTGGGTTGTGTTATGGTGACCAATGAGCTCATGATCTCACAACCAAATCCCCAAATCTTACTTCTCAACAGTAATACTCAGCTCAAACTCATTACCTTCTTATATAATCAGGATTGTTCTGCCCAGTGCTCCTCAGTTAGCCTCATTTATCTACACTGAGTTTCATCATCCGCCCTCAGCACTTCTATGCCTTTCTACTCATCTCCACAGCTGGCTCTCTTCTTCGCAGCAAACTCGTTCACCCAATTGCTCATCCCCTTACTGATACCATTTACAAATGAACTGAATTGCACAGACCTCTGTGGAACATAACTGGGACCCTCGTTAACTGAGAACTGACTATCTACTTCTGCCCTTTGATCCTGCCTTTTACTCTGTCATTTACTTGTACAAAGACTTCGCTTTTACAATATGGCTCCTCAGTTTCCTTAAAAAGCCTTTTTGATAAAGTTCACTTTGATTTTTGAACCAGAACATCTTGCTGATGCCTCTAAAGAACTCCCAACTCCCTAAGACTTCCAAAAGACAACTCATGAAGGACAGAAGTGACTGTGAGAAAGGGCGATGTCTCCAGCACATACACCACATCCTGGACGCAGGTGGTAAATATGTGGTAGTCCAAAGAAAGCAGCAGAAGTCCAGTCCTGCCCTGAATATCACACTGCCTGAACAACACTGCTGGGAGCAAAAGCTGTGACAGGGTTTAACATTGCTTGTTCTGTAACTTTGGATTCTCATACGATTTATTGGAGGTATTCCAATTAAAATGCTGATCCTGGTTGCCAGTCTCCTCTGCCTCTTATCCCAGCCTTCAAAGAAAGGCAACATGCAAAAAAGAGTGCCCAATTCCCAAGCAGCTGCTAATCTTCTAAGATACCCTACAGTTGACTAACTGCTGTTACATCTGAAAAGAAAATACTTACTAGATTATTGTAATTTTATCTTAAATAAAAAGTGTCATGTTTAGTCATGATGTCCTTTACTCCTACTGCTACAGCGGTGATGTTGGGTGATTATATCAGTGACCTCATGAGCTAAAACACAAAAGCCTTAGGAAAGGATAACTAAAGGTGCAGAATACTTAGCATAATACCAAAGCAAATCCCTTTTCAAAGCAGTAATCAATGAGCCTTTTAGATCCTGCACAGCACAAATATTGAATGTATTTCTGACTGTTCACGTACCAGCTTTGTCTATGCTATGATGTTAGCATACACCTTAACAGCTTACTCTGATTAAGGTGACTTCACAGAGTGCTGGCATGCCATTTTGCTATGAGGGCATCCTTGTGAACAAGGTAAGTAAATAGCTCTGCATTTGTTCCCATCTCTCATTTAGTGCATTGTGCAGTTCATTCACAGTGCTCTGCTTCAGTTTCAGTCATGCAACACATTTTGGGATGTACATCTGAATCTGTAAGCATTCTGAGACTTTATGCCAGATTGAGGAACAATTAAAAGCAGTTATACATGACTGAACATAGCAGAGGGAGATGAAGCCAGGCAGTTAGTATCCAGAACAATCACTTTGAGTACAATTTTTGGATTTAGGTGACTGGCAACAACTACTGGATTGGGTTTCAGGCAGCAAAGGCAGAACCTGCCAGAAGTCCACACAGATTCTACCCTGGAGCTGCAGGAACAGAAAATCAGTCTGGGAGCTCCTGTCAGCCTGATGAAAAGTTGTAACGATGTAGTCACCAAACAACTTTACCACTAAATCACAAGGTAATCAGCTTATTATTGGCAGGGCAACCAAGTCAGGAAGGCAGATGGAGCACGAGAAGGTTTGTTTGAAGAGATAGGGTTCCCTGCTGGCACAGAAGCAGGTTGAGAAATGCGTATCTGTTGCCCTACTCTACCCCAGCTCTACCTCCCAAACACACAGGCTTAAGACTTTACCAACACAATGGCATATTCCTTCACAGTCCTGTTGGACACAGTTTATGACAGTAAGAATTCACCAGTGTCAACAATGGGTGCTCAGTGATGAAAGGCCTGTGTCCTGCAAGATAATATTTGCCCTCCATAAGACACCAAAACAACTTAGTAGGTTCTGCTTCCCTGATTTCCAAGCCTACAGTAAGCAATGGGAGAAAAAACACATGAAAGACTCTGCCTTAAATAGCTGCAGACTGCCAGTGGAGCAGGCTTCCAGAAAGGTGGAAGGAAGATGGTGACAAAAAAGATGGACTTAAAAACAGTCTTATGACTGTATGGCATGCATCAATGTTTCATGCACATAATGGGAAAAAAAGTCTTGGAGGGCAGATGGAAACACGAAATGGAGATGCTTTTGAAGAGTCCCAGAGAATGTATTCCTCTAAAGTGCTCTCCAGCAAGATGCTTGAGCTTCTTTCATGCTGTAGGAAAGTAGCTGTAGGCTAGCAAAACATTTGCAATCAAAAAGGTATGGTTGAGTTTTATTTTAAAAAGTTGTGAAGAGTCTTACAATAGTTGTGTTCAATTAATTTTTCAGACAGGTGTTTAGAAATAAGGATTTATTTACTGACTTAACTGATGGTGAGATTTTTTCAATGAAAAAATAATGACCTTAAAAACAAAGGTCATGCAAGGAGTGCTCATCCAGATGACCCTGAATACTGTCCAGGAAACATTTCTGATTAGCTCAACTGACACAGTGGTCTCAATACAGAACATCTTTCATGTTTCGCAGGGTGTTGGAGGTAAAGTGCTGCTTGACCAGTGTTTTGTTACAACTGTTTACGTTTAGCACCTTTGCATTGCCTGTTTCTTGTCCCCTTCCAGAACTGTATAATCCATTTCAATCTTCTGGGAGTTCTCCAGGAAACCTTCCTTTCACCACTCTGCCTTTGCAACCTCTTGCTGAGCTGAGCTGAGCTGACAATTTCAAGGTTCAGATCCACCTTTTGTTTATCTTCTGAAATCTGATGGCTATCTTTTAGCTAATAATTCCCCTCTTCACATGGGCTGCAGCTTTTTTATGTGCTAAGAGAAATCAGAAAAAATAAAGATGTTACTGGTCACCCCACTCATTACAATCTCTATTTTAATATTGCTAATGAGTTTCTTTGTGACCACATTCAAATTCCTTTCCCCCAACTCTTCTTTTCACCGTGTTCCCTTCAAAACTGCAAGATGCCTTCCAAATTACTTCCACATACTACATATGCTGTTGTAGGCTTTTTTTCTGGGACATACGTAATGGGGTAAGTTGGTTGCTATTGTTTCAAAACTCGAAATGGTCATACACTGTCGGATAGGCATTTGAGTATAAAGCGTTCTGCTTTGGGATCTGTTTTTCTTTTTTAAAAAAGAAAAGGAAAAAAAAACAGTAGGCATTACATTTGTAACTGCACACATGTGCAACTGGCTGTCCTTACGCTGAAGGATATTACTCCCTAGGAAAATTCCTAAGAGACTTAAGGGCCTCATTTATAAAAACAACAGGCAAACTGTGATAATACACTGCAAGGCTATCTATCAGCAAGCCTTATCCAGGAGTGCTAGAGGAGCATTTCCTCAAAGGAAAAAAAAAAAAAAAAAGAAAAAAAAAAAAAAGAAGGGGGGAGTGGGGGTGGGGGACAGGAACAAAAAAGAAAAATGAGGAAATACGCCAACACCTCCTTTACCTGCAATGTTTGTGTCAAATCTCCCTCCCACACACTCTTTTCACTCTTTTTATGGCTCCCACAAATTACTGTAAAATACACTGCAAAGTTAAGACAATTCTGTAGCAGTTGTTAGATACACACAAGCTCACTCTACTAAACAAAAGTTTTAGAACAGCAACACAGTTCAAAATTCCTTGTGTATTTCACCGAGCAAAGACTGAGCATGCCAATGAAACTCCGCTACAGCACAGCATTATATTTGAGGCTGCATTAAGATTTATAAACACACTGAGCATGACTAAGGTCTGGAGCAGGGGGGCAGCATAACCAAAGCTGGAGAAGGCTGTGATTAGCAATGAGGAAATGAGATTGAATCAGCTGAGAGAGGAGGCAGAAAAGTACAACAAGTTTGGGACTTGGCATAGCAAAGAAATATACCAGCAAAGCTTTAAAGTGAGACCGATGAGAAGATGCCATTTCAGGGAGAGGAGCAAGAATTTAAAAAAAAAAAAAAAAAAGAGTGAAAAACATAAAAGCATCAGAAAGTGTGATCAAGAGCTCTGGTATTTGTAGTGTCAGGTACTGGAGAAACTATGAAGCCTTGAGTCAGCAGCACAGATGTGACAGATGACACTGGCTGGAAGGCATACCAACACTTGTTAAACTGAAGGACATGTTGCATGGGCAGGGGTGTAGGCAGCAGCAGGAGGAAACAGAGCCCCATGTAATGCCATCTGTCCTTTACATCCGTGCATCCCTCAAAACATGGTCCTGTTCAGCCTCCAGACTGTTTCCCCTTGCACACACACACGGAGCTGAGCTTCAGGGAGCACAGAGGTGAACCGTGCCATGGCTCCAGCTCAGCTGGAACACGAATGCTCCATGCTGTGTCCAGCCGGGCTGGGCTGCTTCCTGCCTTCCCCACAGCCCCAGGGCTCCCCAAGGCAGGGAAGGGGCAGAGTGCTCACCGCCGTCATCAGCACCAAGAGCAGGGTCACCTCTCCCCTAGAGATCTCCAGGCCTCCCAAACAGGGCAAGGTGTCTACAGGGCAGAGCTACAAAGACTTGGGCAGTGAAGATAACTTGATGACACACCTCATGGGATGGATCTTTTACACAGAGGGTGGAGAGAATAAGGGGAAAGAGAAGACATGGAGGTACAAGAGAAATTATATAGTAAAGTTTCTCAGAAATCCTTCAGTACAGCAGGACTGATAACTAGACAAGGGTAGCTGAAAAGAATTTGCTGGATTTGACATGCAAAATTTTGGGATACAGGATACCAACAGTAAAGGCTGTTAATCTGGGCGAGACGGTTAGAGAAATGTAGGGATGCAGGGACAGCAAATGAAGTGCAGAGGTGGCCAGTGAGTGACTGACAGTGCATCTGTGGGGACAAGGAGCAAATAAAACAGGAGTCTGCTTTGAGAATGGCAAAGGGAAAGTTGCTACCTGAGCAAGAGAGCTCTGCTCCAGAAAAAGTAGTTTTTAAACTGTGAAGTTTCACCTCCTGTGAAGTTATTGTGCAATTGGGCATGCAATACTCACCAGATCAGCTTCCTCCTTCAGCCTCTGCAGGATCCTGTAGCAGTTTCTTGGGTATTGTTCATGTCTGATGAGTCACAGTGCGTGCAGCAGGCCCAGGCCCAGCTGGATACTATACCATAGGTGATGCTACTGACCTCTATTTGCTGGGTTTTTATCCTGTTACCTTGGGCCTCTACTATGGCACTGTGCAGCATCCCACAGAGGGGGTTGGGGGTGGGGGAATACAAATCACTCCTGGATTCAGCAGCAGTATCACTTGCAACACCACAGCCCAGCACACGTACGAGGGCACTGATCAAGAATTCCGTTGTGTTTGTCTTCTGCTACATCCTTTGATTCATTCCCAAGGCCAGGTCCAGGTTTGCTTTCATTTATGTGGGCAGTGACCTGTACCTATTCATCCTGTAATGATTTGTATCTAAGTAGGGTCAGACACAGACGAATCAGAGACCACCAGAGCTTTGGCAGACTCTTCAAAACTAATCAGACATTACAACAAACTTGCTTACAACCCCCACCATAAAAAGGCAACTCTTGACTACCTACAACACGTGTGGAGCATTCACCTCCAGTCAGGATGCCCCTGCATCAAAGTACATGGGCAGCAAGTTAAAAGGGAATAAATGCAAACTCCAGCACATTATAAACAAAACCCAAAGAAACCTTAGAGTAGAAACTAACCCATCACAACAAGCATTTACTGCACTTGCTAGAGTAAGCAGTCCGTTTTGATATAACCTTGAGAATTAAGTTCAGAATGGACACATGATATGAGGAACTGAAGTGTGTTCAAGGTAACATCCTACTGCAGACTAAGCTGCATTAATTTTGTTAGTTATTTCCCAGTGATCAACAGCCTAGACGTTCCCTCTCACTACCTCCATTTTAAGGTTTACAAAGGAACAATCCTACCTATTATCTGCTTGAGTGAATCCTATGTTTTCATACTTAGAAAAGCAAAATAAAAGCAAGAACCTGAAAATACAGTAAAGTTTGCATGCAGTTTCTGTTTGTTACGGCAAATCTTTATTTTTACCATGCAGGAAGAATACCATGCAGAAGACAAAAAAAAAAAAACAAAAAAAAAACACCGAAAAAAGCAAGCATTCAAAGGATTATTTCTCATCCTCTACCTTTAAAGACTACTCTAAAAAATAACACAAATGGGTCTGAACAAGTTTATAACTGTTTTAAAGCATATCTTCTCTAAGCTACTGATATGCCAAAAGAACAATTCGGGTGGACGGACATTTCAGATCTGCATAGTCTTGGTCCTCTCTCACATACCCCTCTGCAATTTTCAGCAAAAGCAGCTCATACCTACTGCATATCAGCTAGTGCAATTTTTATCAACCTGCAATCCTTGCTCAATAAAGAAGCAAACCCACTTAACTAAATCCAGGCTACCTCTGTCAAGGATGCCCTTCTCCTGCAACCTGACCAAATCATCCCTAGTTCCCAACATATAGCCCCAGTTACTCTGCTCTCACGGATCCTCCACCATCCATTAGCAATTGCAGCACCACACTCCTCCTTCGAAGGTTTCACTGCTCTAATGGCAAAAGTTAAGGAACCACTTCAGCTCCTTGCTGCAAAAGCCCATAGGTCACTGTGAATCAAGTGCTGGAGTTTTCTATTAAATACACAGGCTGATCTTTATTTACAAGGCGGATGTTAAAACACCACTACAAACAGAAGGAGTACTTATTTACAGATATCATTAGCAATTTGCAAGAAAATGTAATAAAAATGGGTCACATACAAATGTCTGAAGCACTAAGTGGCTAACTGGATATTTCAGCTATCTTAATTAACTTCAGTATTGCATCAAATGCTGTAAGAGAGCGACAAATCACTAATGCCAAGTTAGTCATTTTCAGTAACAGTTCACATGGAATTTTTTCCTTCTAAATAATCAAAACAATTGGTCATTGGACCTTATAAGGAAAAGTGCCGTACCAAACAGAATTCCATAAAATACAGCTGTTTTAACTTCACAGTTCCTTCCAGCATCTTTGCAGCACCTGAATTCTGGGGCTGCATTTTCACGTTTGTTTTTTAAACAAGAGGACAAGATAAAAATATTAAAATAATGTGCTCAGATGCTTTCATCAGTTCTTGCGACAAAGACATTCAATAAAACCACACCACAGCAGATTTTAAACTAATAAACACCAATACTTTATTTTTTACCAGCAAAGTATTAGCCTGTGAGATTTATTGCCAGAAGGTAGTGTACAGTTAGACAGACAAGACTTCTACACATAATTGGATCATCCATAATTATAATAAGATTACAGAAAAAGAGTAACACCAACTCTCTTTTTTTTCCCCAGACAAAACCCAAACCACCAGAGAATTAAATAAGAGAGGGTCTTCTCCTCTGAATCTTGTTATGCCACCCTTAAAGCATCTATTAGTAGCTAATATCAGGACAAAATACAGGACTACACAGAACTGCAGTTAGAATTCCTGAATTCCTGTGCTGTATCAAATCTAGAGAGGGTAACACTTTTATGAACCCCAAATAGCAGCCTCTGCTCTCTACAGAGCATCTCCTGAAACATTCAGTTAAGCTTGCCTCGAGTATAGCAAAGTATGTTTTAAGACCTCGGGCACTGGGATACCTGCCAAGTCACAACAAATATGTATACATAATCTAATCTACTTAAATTTTGAGTGGAAACTCTGTGCCCTTTAGCTATATTCCTCAAGGCTACAAATAGCATACTTGTCGGACAGGATGAAGTGTCCCTGTGTAAGTAATAACTGAGCTCTTCTGGCATCTAACCACGCCTCCTGACTTCTTCCAAAACCAAAAGATGGGGGAGGGAGGAGAGATGAGGATGAAGGTGAGGTTTGGAGGTAGAGGCAAAAGAAGACTTAGGAAGGGGAAACAGAGACAAATTACAGGTGGATTAGGACCAGGAAAGCAATCTGGCAGGTGATGAGCTGGTAAAAAAAAAAAAAAAAAATGGGGAACCCCATGAAAAGAAGGCCTAAAAAGCAAAACGGAGCAAAGCAGAGGCAAAGTAGCAGAGTTACACTGCAAGGCACTCACTGTCCAACAGCTCTGAATACAGACAGGATTACTACCAGCCTTGGTACAGTCACCTTTTCTTAGGAAGGAAAGCAGGTGAAATGCTCGGGAACCTGTATGGGCTTCTACTGCTAAAAATAAAACTAGCAAACCAAAAATCAAACCCATTCAGAATACACACAAATGTAAACAAACAGGGGCATATTTTGACAGCACAAAGCAGTAGCTAAATAACTGCACTGCCTTCTAAAATGAGGGAATATTACTATTTTGCTTTAAAAGCAGGTGACTACTGGGTTTGAAATTTCATACTACACTTGTTTCTGTGACCTATGAACCTTCTGTTAAGAAAAGCTAAACAACTGGATAAATTTTAATAAGAGATCTTTGCATTTGGACTCTAGAAGAAAAATTTCACTGGCAGCCTTACTTCCTACCACTAACCAATCTCTTAAAATATAGTATCTAGTAATCCTTTAAAGCACTTGGTGTAATTGCACACAATAATGGGCAGACTTACCTGAAGCAGATCTAATGTGGTCTATGGTACTTGTTTTAGCAATAAAGAGAAAAAAATAATCAACCTGCTACCAGATATGTTACAACTACAAATTTCAAACTGCAGCTGCCCTGCTTACCCAAATCTAAGTACCAGAGGGCAGACAAGGGAGATGTGGAGACTTGTGCCCATGCCACCAGTGTTTCCAACTGCACAAACAAGCAGTCTTTAAGAAAAAAAGAAATACTTGTGAACACTAAGCGCGGATTCGCAATCAGCCAATGATGTGCAATACAGTCTGACAGCACGGCACCCACCCAAGCTTTCTATCGTAAAGAACACGTGAGAAAGTAACACACTGAAACTCGGCTGTAGAAATTACATTTCTTTCCTGCCTCCTATCATGTCACAGAATCTGGTGAAGTCAAGAAAGGTATGCATCTCCTTCTCCGGCAGAGAGAGCTGGAAGCTCATCTTACTAAGGCACACTTGTTACATATTATCTACCACACATAACACTCCTTCCTGACCTGTAGCAAATCTACCATCCCTCTCCCCAAACACACTGTTCTCTCCTAGCCCTGCCACTTCACATAAGCTGATGCCACGGACTAGAGCTAGGGAGAAACCTCTGCTAAAGGGCCAGCTATAAAATGGTCAAAGAGAGTTTGGGTTATGTGAAGGTATGGCTAAGAAAAACAACATAACACTACCAAAACAGGTACAAGTGCCTGATAACTTCAACGTGTCCCTTTCTGAAATAATTTTGTTTCTTTACCAAAGAAGACATGTGCTTTCAGAGGAGCCTGTAACCCAAAACAGAACATGAGAACATGTCAGGCATCTGTATTTCAGTCTCATTATTACCACAGTTGTCACCAAAACTTCACTGTTTGTACCCAAAAGCCTGTGCTTGCAAAGACAAGCGTTGATACTTCCCGCGAATTACAGTGCCACAGAAACCAGCACTGAGACATCACTTTTTAAAGAACCAACAAAACCAACACAAAAGAAAACACTGAAGAATCACTCAGCATGGATATAGATAGCTCTGGTACAGATAATTGCTGCCAGTTAACCTCAAGGCCTGATCCCTCATCAGATTTGATAGCTGCCTTGGCAAGCAGCTTCAGCAGTTACTTTCTCATCTCTGGACCCAATCCCAAAAGCAAAGCAGCCACCTCCAGAATTAGGTAATTCCACCCAAGCAAGCTCTGGTGCGTCCATAGGCAGAGGCAGCAGTGCCCAGCCAACACTATGAGCTGGCCAGACACAAGCTGCTCTCCTGGCTGGGCTGTGCAGTGAAAGCAGTGCCAGGCTCGAGTGCCCATGAGCAGTTCAGAGGCAGGGGGGCAACAGCTCTAGCACAGCGCCTTGCTGAACACTTTGGGGCTGGAGATGGACACACCTGTCCAGCTGCCACGGTGAAA